ATTAGTTTTAAGGGTAAAAATGACTAAGAAGTGTATTATTTGTTCTAAAAGATACATTTTGGGTGGTTCTACCTCCTTTCATTGGTAAGTAAATAAAACACATAGGCGGCACCAGACACCATTGTGTAATTTGTATATTAATGTTTCAATACTAATGTAGATACTACGTAATGTACCTAATTGAAAAAAAATATATCGCACCATCAATACACAATACCCAAAGCCACTCAAAAAAATCACAATTTTGAGTTAAGATACAAAATTCAAATGCAACTTCACCAGACATTGTATTTTATTCCAAATTTAAGGCGTATTAATTAATATTACTTTGCTTCTTCATGTAAACATACACAGTTAATTTTATTTAACAAATCACTGACTGAGAGTGATGGACTTTTTCAAGGCATTCAACAGGGTAAACCAGCTACTTTTAGCTAAACTTGTCAACATGATTTTGTGAAAATGATGATAGTATATGCTTGTTTATCGAACTTGTTCTGAATAAACATAAATCAACAGTATATAGGTAGGTATACCTACTGTAGGGTGACCATGTTTAGTTTAGCCCAATGCTGGATAATACAACATTGATGATGAACTTTGGTGAGGTGAAGACTTTTTTTTAAGTTTCCAAAGATACCATTCACAGAGAAATCACGTCGAGGACCGGTGGACCTATTTTTTTAGATTAATACAACAGAGAAGTCATATGTATTACGTTTTTGTCTTATTTGTTACATTTCAGTAAAAAGGGTTGTACAATTGCTACGTTTAAAAAGTACCTCCTGGAGCGGAGTAGAGCTAGATGTTTTAGTCACGTGATCATCGAAATTATGTGAAATAAAAGACCGGCTATGGATTTGATTGTTTTCGGTTTTCATTAAAATAATAAACTTAAACCTTTCTTTTAAATCAAATTTGATCTCTGGTATAGTGGTGTTTGTTGCAAAGTAAAGTGAATTTTTAGCTGTGATATTTTTCGCCTTTTGCTTTCACTAAAAAATAAACCATGTTCTAATTTCTGTCTGACGTTTTTTATTAATATTTCTCTGTTAAATTTAATTAGGAGTAAATAGATCTTACTCGACGTACGAGCTCTGCATTAAAAGACCACGGAGCAGATCTTATCGAGAAGCCACAGATATAAAAAAAGAACGGCTTCGAGTAAAAAGAGGTTACTTTTCAAACGCAGCAAATATAGTGAAATGCTGTATGTATGGTTACCCTAACCTGCTGTAGTATTAATAAACTAATGTAATTATACTTAGACTTATTGTATCCTGATAATTTTATTATATTGTCAAAATGCCAGGAGGAAGACTGCCATTTTAACATATAATATGCCCTAACCTAATAGATTGCGCCGAAAAATTGCCTTTATCCCTATTTTTATTATTTTTGTATTTCACAATCTACACACGAACTCAAATATCGCTACCTAATAAAGAGTTAAGTTAGAACACATAGAAAGATATTACATTACGTGTTATTTCCTTATAATTTCATTAAAAAATAGCGTAGTTTACTTTTTGTAAAATATAATTTTATGTTTGAGTTGCATTTTTCTTTAAATCCGTCCGTTACAAAATAATCCTTCGGATTCCGATGAAAAAACTACTTGATACGCCCATGTAGACCACAGTACCACAGCTGTCAAAAGTTTGTAGATACTGGCTTCAAACAAAGCCTGTGTTAAACGGCGCCCGTTAGGTATCTATTTTTCATTTGTTTATCTGAGCCTAAGATATTTCTATAACGCGGTTTAGACGTAATGTATGACCCACAATAAAGTCGTTTTGGATGCGCAGCATTGTTAATTATATAGCACATACAATACTAAATTTTTAAGAGCCTCGAGTTTGATTCATATTTCTAATATTTTTTTAGTGTGAAATAAAAATTAAATTTATGAAATTCGATTTTTTTTAGTAATAAAGATTATGCTAATATTACCAATGATAAAAATATTTAATTAACATTAGTTTTGTCTCATAAACTAGTAAAACCGACAGTAGATTTAGCTTTAGAACGGTCTTAAGTTTTGTTAAAAATGGCGGCTATTCAAAGGAATATTAGGAAGTTATTTTAAGACAATCATATTTATAAAATATTATTATAATAAAACAACTGTAATACAATAATTAAGTTGTATCAGTCATTCCTACAAAACAAGTTCACCATGGTTTGTTGTATAATAGTTTCAAATTGCTGCACTGTATAACATAACCTTACTAAATCGTTTGCAATGAGAATTGAAATGATTAGTTTGTTTCTACAGCGTTATACTCGTAGAGCAAGCATAATTTATAATATCGCTAGAATTAGCAAGTTTAATATGGACATCGCCAAAAATATGGCTTTCTTTTAGTATTGGGGCATGATTATTCAGAACATAATTTTTATCTGGCTGAATGATAGTTTTTTTTTATTGTCTGGACAAAACAACAAAATATTTTGCTAATATTTTTTACTATTTTCTGAAAAATGGTATGGGAAGTAGTTGAAGTAACATAAAATACAAAATAATATGGTGTAGGTTAGGGTGGCCCAAAAAAAGCGAACATTTTTTTTATTTAAGTCTGCTATGAAAATATGTTAGTTTATCATGTTTTAAGAGCCCTCTCCAAAGGACAGCTCAAAAAAAATTTTTTAAAGAGTCGCTCCGAATTTTAAAAAAATTCCAAAATCGTCGAAAACCGGTTTTTTTTTGTTTTAAATTTCTTTTCTTATTATTTTATTTTTTTTATAAGAAAAATCATACAGATCCTGAAAATTTCAAGTCGAAATTTTAATATTGAAAGGTCGCTTCGAATTTTTCTAAAGTTTCAAATCGAGTACTTTATATCTTTTCGAGCTACTTTTGAACATGAATATTAAACGAACTTTATATTTTTTTGTTTTCATTAAACTTTTTTTTCGTTTCTCGTGCTTTAATTACATTCTTTAGTATGTAAAATTAAAAAAAAAAATATAAAGTTCGTTAATATTCATGTTCAAAAGTAGCTCAAAGAGATATAAAGTACTCGACTTGAAATTTTCAGGATCTTTATGATTTTTCTTATAGAAAAAAAATAAAATAATGAGAAAAAAAATTTAAAACAAAAAAAATCCGATTTTCGACGATTTTGGAATTTTTTAAAAATTCGGAGCGACCCTTTAAAAAATGTTTTTTAAGCTGTCCTTTGGAGGGGGCTCTTTAAACATGATAAACTAACATATTTTAATAAAGCAAACAAGTGTTAAGAGGTATATGTACGTGTAAACTACAATTACAAAAAATTGATATGAAACCCATGAAACCACCAACAAAAATGTAAAGCTAGCTTCCGTACTAGAACATGGTGTCATTCGTCGAGATAATTTATCGTTTTGTTTAATAGATCAAGAAATGTAAATATTCCCCTGTTATTTTTTATAAAATTATAAGAGAAATAAATTTTTTTCTAAATAGTATAGTTTATTATTTTGTAGAAAAACAAAATTTCGAAAATTTTAGTAATGTTTCAGAAACAACCGTTATTAATAATAGGTACCATTTTCCTTAATAAGGTAGAAATAAAATATAAACTATTTCCACGATTTACAAAGGCCTATAAAAAAATTATAGGTATTTTCCGCTATCCTATAAAATTTATATTTTCTGACTCAATTTCAAAAGGTTGAAGGAATTCCAAAACACCTTTTATGGCATAATAATTATTTTCAATTCTACATACTATCTTTAGCTGCTTTTAAAAACGTTCTAAGAAAGTCCAATCAGACCAATTTAATCCCTAAACTATTCCACACTTTTAAAATTTAATTTCCTAAAAATATTAAAAACTATTTAAAATAACTTGTTTAGCAGACTGTACAATAGCTATCTTAGTCACACGTAGCGCGTTCTCTGTCTGGGCGTCGAACACCTCTAGAAATTTGATGAACTGTATGTATCATTGACTTTGTCAATGATAACAGGACCACAGGGTTGCTATATCCAAACTGTCAGTTCCCACTGGCAGCATTTTGACAGGTCGTTGGAATGTCGGTTCCGTTTGTACATATTCCATGACAGAAATTTTACAAGCTGTCACTGTACTACCTTTAATTTTAGCTATATTCGAGCGGTCGCTATAGTTTAAAAATATTTTCGACAGCTTTTAGAACTAGTTTTAATAACACGTCATAGATTCTGAAAGCGCTCAAATAAATGATTTCAAAAAAGTTACGTCACTAACAGTTAAAAATTTGTCAATTTCAAGTCCGTAGGAATCATACGTTAGTGTTTTGTGGATCCCTAGCCCTTTCTCCATGGATATGTACTAAAAGATAATGTTAAATTTTCATAAAAGTTAAATCATGTTATATTTAGTATCCGTTATTTAGAAAGACAACTGAACCGAATAACTTTCCTATTTTTTCTTATACAAACTAAAACTTTTTATATAATTTTATTGTGTACGCCGTTTATGCTTTGATATAATGCTTAATAATTACTTTTGTTTGACATTAATGACACTTCTATTTCTTTGAACCGTTCTCGAGAAGACGTTTCAAAAACAGATGCACTGGTTTAAACCTAATTCAAGGTGACGTCATTGTTTGGTCACCCGAATGAGAATATTTCAAACCATTTTCAAACCACGAAATATATTTAAAACAGTCGATCGCTCGAATATGGCTTTTATAACATTTATTAATACAATTAACAGTTGAAGGGCACAGGGGAAAAACGGGCTAAGTCAGTTTTTAGCGAAATTGAGATATTAACGTCATCCGATAGAAAATATGTTAAATTTTGTTCTAAAAATACCTCCCACGTCAAGAATAGGATAAGTCAGAAGATATCGAATAAGAAAAACGTGATAAGTCCGTGCGGTACCGAGCAAAAACGGGCTAAGTCGCGTTTATACTTGTCCATTCGGTAACGTTGTGATCGCCATTTTAATCGTTATCGTGCAGATTTGTCAGTGTTCTTCATGTTTTTCATTGGTAAACATTGTTAAGAACATTGTTCTATCATGGAAAGTGATTCAAGTAATTGTGAAAGTGTACAAATGATATCTTCTACAAAAAAGAGACCAAAACAAGGACGATTAACAGATGTGAATAAAAAATTGGAAGTGCAAAGCCATGAAATTGGTAAAGAATGCGATTGTAAACGTTTGCAGTGCTCCAAAACGATTCCTGCGGAGGGTAAGCGAGATTTTATAAGGAATTTTAATCTTTTAGAGTCAACTGATAAGCAAAACTCATATTTATGTGGACACGTTAGTATTGACCCAGTCAAAAATAGACGACCTCGGGTAGATGAAGAAAATGCTCGTTTAAGAGATGTTGTAGCTCTGTATAAGATTAGGTATTTACATGAAAATAAGCTTAATGAATTAGAAATTTGTCGAGATGAGTTTATAGCATTACACGGCATTACAAAACGTCGAATTGAGTGTTTACTCACATCTTTAAAAAATACTGGCATTTCTCCAATTGATAAAAGAGGAAAACACTCAAAAAGGCCATTAAAACTGTCTGATGATACTCGTAATAAAATTAAAGAGCATATATCTTCATTTAAAAGCAGAGGCAGTCATTTATAGTACTAAAGACACTCAGAAGAAATATTTGCCTGAAGAGCTAAACATTAAAAAAATGTGGGAAATGTTTAAAAATATGCATCCCGGCAATAAAGTATCCTACGAAATCCACAGGACCATTTTCACCACAGATTTTAATATAGCTTTTGGTTACCCACGAACAGACACGTGCAGCACATGTGATGAGTACCTAGCTAAAATAAAAAGTCTCGAGCATGAAAAACAAAATGCAAGCAATGAAAACCCTGTATACACGTCTCCAAATAAAAAACAAAAAATAGGTCGAACTAAGGAAGATATAACAGCTGAAATAAAACAACTGACCACATTACATGACCTGCATTTATGTAAAGCAAAATCATTTTATTCATAAAAAGCAATCAAAGTTTTCAAGTCGCAAATCAAACGTAAAAGAGTCAGTCTGTATAGACTTTGGTAAAAATTTTCCTATCCCCAAAATTCCTACTAATGATGTATACTACAAAAGGCAGTTTTTTATGTATACCCAGAAACTATTGCCAAAAAAGGTAGTGATGATGTTTCTTCTCTAATGAATCATTTTGTGTATAATTACCTTAATTCAGACATAAGAAAATTGGATTTATTTTGTGACTCCTGCGGTGGGCAAAATAAGAATTACACCTTTTTCCGCTACTTACATAATCTTGTTCACCAGCAAAAAAGATTTGATTCTGTTCGAGTTACTTTCCCAATTAGAGGCCATTCTTATATGGAAAATGATAAGAATATGGGAATCATCAATCAGAAAGCCAGAGTTGAAACAGTGAAGGAATTATGTGACCTCGTCCAATCTACCAGAAAAAAACCTTCGTCCTTTGTAGTGGAACATCTTTCAGAAGACAATCAACACATTTTTCAAAAGTGGACCGATTTGAATAAATTCTACAAGAAAAAAGCTAGCTTTCCAATTCAGTCAATAAGGCAGTTCGAAGTTTCAAAAGAACACCCTAGGTTGATCAAGTATAGAGACACATATAATGGGACATGGACCTCTGCAGTTGTGATGGATAGAAAATCTATGGTCCTCAAAAACTTGGAGACAAACAACCAATTTTTTCTTCCCGAAATATCTTACAAAGGTAAACTTATACGCATATACTTTTATTTTGACTATAAAATTATCTTATTTGTTCCAGGTCCAATACCAATTTCGGCGGCCAATTTGCAGAGTTTAAAAAAGTTCTGTGGAAAGGAAGCTCAAGATTATTTTACCTCACTGGTGCATAATTAATTGGAAATATGTAGGACTTCTTACCTATAAAGAAACTTTCAAGGTAAAAAAAATCTTGTTTATTTTTTTTATACACTAATTAAACTATTTATTATTCATTTTAGGTTATCGAATAAATGATTATTTTTTAGTTCAGTTTTGTTTTAGTATATTATTTATGTAGGCATAAAGCTGGTTGTTGAGTGAAATAAACATACTTTAAAATACAAAATTGTTATAAATTCGGGGGAAAAACGGACTAAGTCACGACCAATTAACAATAAATTTTTGATTTTTCCATCAATTTTTTTTAAGCCTTTCTTTTATGACCCAAAGGTCTACGGTAGTTAGGGGACATATTGGTAAAAAGAGAACTTTGTGAATCCAAATACTTTAGATTTTGTAGCATTTTGAAATTTAAAATTGCTTTATCTCAAAACCATAACATTTGACTTAGCCCGTTTTTCCCCTGCACCCTTCAGTTTTTTTTTTTCTATTGTAACGATCTGTATAGAAAATTGCAATTATTACGGAAAGTTCCAAATCAAACATTGTGTTCTTTCCGTATTCATTGAAACCTATATTTAAGTATTTACCAATAACGTTAGGAACACATTCTGACAATGACTTCTCCACCCCCTGAGCAAACAGTACGTCAGCTTGAACGAGAATTGAATATTATAGTGAGGATGATTGAAACTAAAACAAACGGAATAGAAATGAATTAATCCGCTACACTTCACTAGCGCCGCATGATTGTATGTGTCTGAATTGTATGTGTGTATGTCCGAATGCAATAGGAATAGCAATCGGGGACTTAGCGTTGATTAAAAAATAATAAAAAGGGAAGTGCCTACTTCGCGTTTAAGGGGAGTCAAATTCGCAGGCCCGGATTCGAAGATACATGTCTCATTAACAACTTCAACCGATTTTATTTTGTAAAAACAAATATTAAATACCTACCTATCGTAAGGGGCAACTAAAAGAATATAAGTATTTATAGGCACACCTCTCGGTGACGTTATTAATCTCTTTGGAATAGCAGGCTCTTTGACGAGCTGAAAGATAAACTAAATGGCATGGTTTTGTATTGGGCATAATCTTTTTAAAACTTACACGTCTAACATAGCATCAGGGGAACTTTCTCCATTGGTTCATTTGTGCAGTAAACACCTAGTTCAATTTCATAAAAAAAAAACATTATTTTAAAATCACATAAACAACATAAAAAATAAATGTAATTTTAATATTTTTATTATTATACATGTTAATCTCTATTTTTTGGTAAGCCACTGCTCTCTGGCTCGTCGAGTTTCTTTAAGTGCACTATGCTGAGTGAGCACCAGAGGTTTCCGCAAATGCCTGTAGTTAAAAAGAGTGGTCAACAGATCCTTCAAACAAAAAATGTGACTGCTTAAAATAACGCTATTTTGTGCATTGCTCATAAACAAGACGTGACGACACAAAGTAGGGCAGGGCATACAACTCTTTTCAATCATTGAAATAGAATAAAGAGGAGATGCTATGACGATACTAAAAGTGTTCGCACTTTTGCATTATACTTTTACGTCATATGTCGTCAAACTCGAGCTTGTCAGTTTTAAGGTGAGCAAAAATGCAATTTTTATAATAGCGTGATTTAAATGATATAAAAACATTTTCATTTCGACAATCTTTAAATATAAAATTATTAACTTACCACTGTAATTTATATTTCGATCATCGATTATTTAAAATATTCGTTTATTTTCTATTAATCGATTACTTAAAAATAATCTATGCTTTTAGATTAATCGATTATTTTGGAACAATCAATTATTTTTATATAATCTATTATTTATCGATTATATATCACTATAGTACAGCAAGTTAGCTAATAATTGTAGTGTTTGAAAACAGTATGATATTGATGATAATAATAAATACACCTAATGTAAACCCAAATCAAAAAAACAGCGACAATGATGCTTGTACAAAGTTTTTAACCGAACTTACAAATACTAAAATTATTGGAAACAATTAAAGATCCATCTTGAATTAGCATCAGTCGTCACTGCACATCGTTCATAAAGTAATTAAATTGTAAGCCCTCTAAAATAAAAAATATTTGTTTTTGGTATGCAAATAATTCGGCAAAATATGACTCAAAAATAGTTTACATTTTCAGTTTAGTTTTAGGATCAAATAATAAATCCGGAGAATAGAGAGGATGGTCAACTAATTTAATACCAATCTCGAGAAAGGGAAGAGAAATTTCCAGCCGGGCCTATAGTGAGCTATGATTTTGATTTATTTTTATTTATTTTCATTTATTTTCATGTCATTAGTTTTTCTGTCCAGTGGTTTGTATTAGCCTGCTAAACTAATCGAGTTCAAAACTCTTTGAATAATTAAGAAACTCAAATATTTTCATGGAAATGAAAGCTGTGCTCGATTCTACTTTAGGCGAGTCTGCTCCATATACCTATCCAACAAATTTCAGAACTTTTCAGATTCGGGTGAAAATGAATTAAAAAATTATTAGTATTTCATATCAATACATAAAAAATTTAACTTTTCCATATTATTCTTTTCTCTTCATTTTATTGTTCTTTTTCTTTTAATAATTCTTATTCCTTTTACGTTATGAGAATATGTGTTGTTTCTTCATTGGCTTAATTTCATTTTTCTATTCCTTTCAGTCCTGTGGTATCATCTTCATTTCCCTTGTTGTACTTGTATTAAACTTGTATTATACCTTTAATTCTTATACAAATAAACTTATAGTAACTTTGTAGTAAATTTATTACAGTAACTTTTTTGTCCGGATGCACATGCAGAGCAAGATTTCAAAAGAAAAAGTAAATCTTTAATGTCTAGGCAGTAACAATGATTTTTAATGCCTAGGCAGTAAAAGGGGGTATTTCAATGATGGAGAAATGTTACTAAAAGTGACTTTTAATGTCAATCGGAGAAAAAATTGTTTGTAAATGAATTCGCAATATTTTTAATTTCAAAATAAAGAAGGGTATCCAAAACTGCTCAATTATGGTCATCATAAAAAAATTAAGAAATAATGAATGGCCAATTGTGAGAACGATTGTGCAATCGATGATATATATTAGTAATAAGGATCCTTTATTTTGATGTTCACATTGGCAGTACCCATATAAAAGTTCCCCGAGTTGGACAAAGGGGCTATGCTTGTACTAGCTTCGGCGTACATATATTGGCCCATGCTTTGATCAGGAAAGGGTACTCAACCTTGGCCTTACCTGTCGTTTCCCAGTTCTGGGCCAAGACTGGAAAGCCCAGCTTCGGCCATTAATTGGCTAGCCAGAATTGGGCCAAGAATGGGAGACCCAGCTTTAGCCATGCCTGTAGTTACCCATCCTTGTCAAAAGACTGGTTAACCGAGCCTGGGCCTTACCTGTGGTTTTCTAGTTCTGGGCAAAGGCTGAAATGCTCAGCTCCGGCCATTTATCGGTTAACCAGAATTGGGCCAAGAATGAAAGACCCAGCTTTGGCCATGCCTGTAGTTACCCATCCTTGGCCCAGGACTGGATAACCGAGTCTGGGCCAAGACTGGGATTTTCAGCTGTGGTAATTTAACGTACGTTACAGTGTATATAGTTTAGTTAATAAGTTTAGTTTAGTATATTTTGTTTCGTACATCATTATCACTGAGCGAGGCGTGCGAGTAGCGGGTATTAATAGAATAAGGAACACGAGGGGTGTCCACATTAACGTTGAGAACTCACAAAAACTGTCGAACTATTTTCATGTGCATATTTGTAGTTGAGTTTCTTTACTGTTAACCTTTAAATCGTACTTTTTCTTGCTACTTCTTATTCATACCTTAGAGTTAAAAGTTAAATAAAAGAAAAAAGTTTTAAATACAGAAAGCATTTTAGGTGTCAAAGAACCAAGTACAAGTAATGAAACAGCAGTGTAGATGAGGTTAATTATCCCAGTGGCACAAAACCATGTAATTTACAGCCGTTGAACAATGATTTTGATAATAGTGATTCTAACGGTAGTAGTGATAGTGATTCTGATGGTACGGATATATTTTTTTTTATTATATAATTAATTAAGTAGCCCAGGCCTGGCCACCAAGCATGGCGAATTTCTGGTAATCAAACATGGCCCAGACCTGGCAATAACGCGCGGCCCAGCCATTAAAATGAAGTTTGGGCCAGTCATGGCAATCAAGCAAGGGCCAGTCATGGCAATCAAGCAAGGGCCAGTCGTGGAAATTAAGCATGGCCCAGTCTTGGCATTTAAGTATGGCCCTACCATAACAATAAAGTCTGGACCAGTCTTAATAACCAAGCTTGGCCCGAGATTATCATCCAGACATCTACCATGGTCTAAGATCCGCAGTAAGGTCGACCTTCACCCATCTGTTTAATGGATGAAATTTTCTTTTTATTAAGTAAAATATGTTTATAAATATACCGCAAATGGGTTGCCTAAGAAAATACGGTCCAGATTTATTTTCCTAATGTAAAAAAACGACACCCTGTAAAGTATTCTCCAGATGCTTCGACTATGTCCAAACTTTAATCTGCTCACCGCAGGATGGATTAAAGCTTAAGTTTAAAATTTGGCGTTTTTCTCTTGATCCGTTTTTGAGTTATCTTCAAAATTCGAAATTTGCACTTTTCCTCAAATATTTCGAATTAGGACCATTTTAGGGGTATCATGTATAGGAACAAAATAATATAGAATGACATCATCCTTATACTTTCCTTATCTGTACACAGAAAGGAAAGTAAAAAATGGTCGTTACCGTATTTTCTTAGGCAACCCATTTGCGGTATATTTAAAAACATGTTTTATTTATTAAAAAGAAACTTTTATCCATTAAACAGATGGGTGAAGGTCGACCTTACTTATGGATCTTGGACTACCAAGGCTGGCCAAGACTGGCTTACAAGCTTGGCCCAGAGTTCTGTATAGTTGGGCCAAGCTTGGGCCCGTGGTACTTTCCTCTATGGGTAGCAGTTGTATAACATGTCTTTACAAGTTTGAAAATT